AATTTCAAGATATAAGAAATTTTGGAAATTCCACCATAAATAAAATTGTTTACTACAAGAAACATTTTGGTTCATGACTTTTTAAAAGACCACCCCTAATAAAATTACTAGTAATTGACATTAGATCTTTAAGGCTGGGCTGAAAATACTTAAACAGTTGGCTTTGTAGATAAATCTGAATATTTACCATCTCGTGGACCCAGTTTAAGTTCTGTTGCTGTTTCAAATGAAAACACTGTGTTTCCATTTTAAACATACTTCAAGGGAGCCTGCTAAATGAAATTTTTCCTTTATCTTAGTTCTTAACCATATAATGTCAAATAGTGTGTGAGAAGGGAAGGTGGAAGTTATTCAGGACAATAACACATGTTTAAATTAAAAAAATGTAAAGTGTTATCTAATTTTAATACTTATGGTACATTACAAATCATGAGTTGTCATATTTGTTTTTTCTACCTGCCTGAAAATATCTTCATACTATATCCTAATATTGTCAATAAAATATTTAAAGATATTGAGCTGATTTTTTTATATTGTTAAGAGTACCAGCATAAGAAAACTTATACAAATTATAGTAAAGTGAAGCAGATTGCAATTGTCTTCCTCCTTTTTACAGCTTTTTAAATTTTATTTTATTAATCATATTGTGTGTATGTTTGTGTATGTGTGTGTGGGAAATAGACGTGTGTCTCTCATTGTTTTCATCTTAAATCTCCTCCAGAAAGACTTAACATGAAAAAATTGAACAATTAAGAGGGAAATTAGGTTGAAACAACCATTGGGATAATTCTCATAATTTTACCATCGAGAGAGTAAAAAGGAAATATTCCTGAAGCACCTAAAGTAGCTATTCACAGAGAACAAAAATAGATTAATTATTTCATCCTCTAATTTTTACATTATTTTAAAATTGTTAAGTGTTTGTGTTTACATATATTAATCAAAGCATACAGACCCTTTGCTAGAGCTAGGCAATGCTACTGATCTCAGGAAGGTTTCCCCTTTTCTCTGATAGGATTTTCTTGTGCAGTCATGAGGCTTGAAGGAATGGGAATCAGGGAATCATTCCATAGGAGAGGGAAAAGGGTGAGTTAAAAAAAAATGTTGTGGCTGCTGTCGCTCTGTTAGCATTGTGGCCTGACAGGGGATGCTAACTTTTTAGAACACAGATAAATCTTTCTTTATTCATGATTTGGGAGTACAAGGATTTTAGGTGAAGAGAATTCAAGAGAGAATGGTAGAGATTCATGTATATTTCCAACCTAAGTTGAGTTATTCACTTTTGTTACACACTGTGCTAGGTACATTTTCTCCTTTTGATACTTCTATGGAGAGGTTGGAGATTTGTTGTTAGTAGAATCAGAAAAGAAAAAGACTATTCAAATATTAGTTTGTTTTTTTAAGTTCAATTTTTAAACATATTAGGTTTCATTTTATAAAATTAAGCAGAAAACAACGAAATTTTTAGTTCAAGTGAATGAAAATTTTTTCTTACTAAATACCAATCATTTCTATTACTTTAAAGTTTATTTAATATTCTTAGTGAATATTATGATAATTCAGAGTAGTTAGAGCTTTTCCAGTGATCTAGATTTAATACAGGTGGTGATCACTGCATCATTGAAAACACTACCTTCCACGCCAGGTTGCTCCGTTCATCCCATTTCCAACGTACTAACATCGAAGGCTGGTGTCTACTCAGTAAACAACTCAGCACAACACATCATTTGCAGTCATATATATTTCTTTCCGAATTAGGGGCCTCTGGAAATTGGTTCTCCAAAAGAAGACCCAGAAAGGTCTTCTTTTCTACATAAAAGCAGGGGAGAATAAAAGAGTGGAACTGACAAAAGATTCAAGTAAGGATAGGATTTTGTCATCTATAAGTCTCCTGTAGTGAACAGTTGGGCTGCCCCCGAGTTTGTATCAGACCACTTCACCTCAGCTGGTGGAAAGTATGCAACTAACCAACAGTCAAATTTCTGGGAGCAACTAGGACAGTATTTCCTTCCCCATCTGTGAATCTGATGGAGAGGAGGTTCCTAGGAAATGAGAGTCAAAAGAGCCTCCTTTTCCTCCTTCCTGGGAATTGCAAGCTCACTGAGTTACATATGAAAACTGAGTCCAGTGAAGTTATGGAAATTGGTAAATGCCATATGGATACAAGTTGCCATGTAACTCAGAGTATCTCCATTGTCCTTATTTTCTTCTCCTTTGAAAGATGCAAGCCAGATAAAATTAGTGGCTATATTTTACCCACAAATTCTTCTTTAAGGTGGCATTCTAACAAATACTTAATCTGAGAGTGGTATTTCCTGAAATTCTATGTTGGGTTATAACAGTTACTAGATTAAAGTGGTAATTTAATTCTCTGACTTATGGAAGTGATATTTCTGGGAATGGTATTAGAGTACAGCTATTTGTAACTTCAGAAAAGCCCTGCTTGAATGGCAAAGTACCCCTGAAAGTATCACCACTGCATGTTCCCACAATTGTCACAAAAAGCAAAAGGCCATCAAATTTATTTCCTTTAAGAATTTTAATTATCCATATTTTAGCTGACTAGCGATTTAGCTTATTGTAATATTATAAATAGTGACCACTAATATTATTAAAGGGTTAAAGTCTTATAAAAATAATCTTTTGTAAAGGGGGAAATTAGCTAAATCTTATCTCCAATTATGTCACTAATTTGCTTCATTCCAGATGAATCAGGAAACAATGCTAAAGCAGTAACTAGCAAATATTGAGTGCTTATCATTATGCAAATAAGACAACAGAGGCTTAAGTTTAATAAGTTGCCCAACACTCAGCTGACTGTTTGGGCTTCTTCACAACACATGTTCCAGGAGGGTCCAGCGAAGTTACAAGGTTTCTTATGACAGCACTGAAAGTCCCAGAACATTACTTCTGCTACATTCTTCTGGGCAAGCAAGTTCCTAATACCAGCCCAGAATCAAGCAGAAGCAAATTAAACTTCACTTTTCAGGGGAGGAAATAGTAACGAATTTGTGTACGTATTTAACCCACCACGATCACTCATACAGACTTGCTGCGTCTATTTCACACATTCCGCTAATTGTAATCTGGCTTCTGCCTCTATCACTGTCAATGGTCACTGATGAACTTCATATCAGAGGACTGTTCCAGTCTTGGGCATGCTTATATCTCTAGGCCGGATGTCTTCCCTCATCTTTAGTCCTATATATCCAGCTGTCTTCTTAAAATCTCTTAGAAGTCTCAGTGGTACCTCCAACTAAACGTATTCCAAATTAAACGCATCATCTCTCCCCTCTCTCCCTACCTCTAAGCCAGCTCTCTTTCAGTGTTGACTCTCTCAGCAAATGACATCACCAGTTATGTAAACGTGAAATTTAAGACATATTCCTAATATCTCAATCTCCCTTATTCTCTTGTCTAATTAATTACAAAATCCTATGAATTTACCCTCTTCAATACCTCTCGAATCTTTACCCTTAATCCAAACTATGGCTATTTCTTTCTAGGAATATCATAAGATTCTCTTAACCTGTCCCTCCATAATTATTTTCCATCTTCCACTTCTGGTGACGACATCCAAGTTTTTCTGTGAGGGCTGTCCCTTTCCTCTTCTCAGGTCATGTAGTTCAGGTGGGATTGACAGTACCATCTGGATTCAGAAGTGGGAAAGTCATTCTGCCCTGACCATGAGTACATCCTCTTGCTTGGTCATAATGATTGTTTCGTGGATGAACATGTGACTTAACTTGTTCAATGAATGTCAGTCCTAGGATATTTACTGGAAGTACAGAGAAACGTAGGTTCTCTTTCTGATAGGGTAATAATATATGAGAGTTTTGATTTTAGGCTGCCAGCTGTCATTTCACCCCCAGAAGAGAATATCATGCCTAAAAATAAAGTCAACACAGTAGAAAGCAGAGCTGTGATACAGAGAGATATATTCCTGAAAATATCATTAAGCCTCCAGATCCTAAAATGCCTGAATATCTGCTCTTGGCCATGCTTTACAATCTTGGAGCCAAGAAATGATCTTTTTTCTTAAACCAGTATGAGTGGAAATTTTGTTAATTGAAACAGAAATAATCTTGCATGATGCCACTCTTTGATCTCTTCTGTTTAACACAGCTAGAGCGATTGTCTCAGAATATTCATCTGATCATGCCAACCATTCTGTTTTCCCTCCCAGCTTATTGCATGTAGGGTAACCAACTGAGCAACCCTTTAACATGACCCTCGAGGTTTTGTATGACAATCTCCTATCTACCTCTCTAGCGTTATCTCTTTCTGGTCCAGTTCCTGCTCTCTCCACTCCAGCCACAGAAGGAACTTTTTATCAGCCATTGTGTTCCCTCTTACCAAAGGGGCTTTACA